ACATACTGGGGCTTTATTTTGTATCTGTATTCATTCTTGTTCATAAAAAGCACAATCAACATTCTCTGTTTCTATTTTTACAATGTTTATTTGCAACAATTTACTAACCTATCAAAAGTTGTTATCCACCGAATGCCCGATAACAACCGAATAGCCGATAACGCGTTGAGCAGTGTGTAAATGCGGCGTTATTGGGACACGGGATTTCGAGGGCTTGAATTAGGTTGGTTGTCTTCTGTAGTAACCTTAGGAACTGAGTTTAAAGAAAAATAACAATCTTCAGTGAAATATAAATTTATTTCATCTAGATCAATAAAAAGAAAAACAAAACAGACAAATTGATTGTAGTGATCTTAATGCAAATCTGGAAAACATGGGCGAACTTAATTAAATGGAAATGTGCAAAATGTTGAGGTATCAAACGTCTCTACCATTTAGTTGAAGCTCTGAATTAATTCTGACAATATATAAACCCTACTCACCTAAAATTTGATTTTAAATAATTCCCAAGATACGATTCTATTTTTATTGCAAAATTTATTCATAAATAATCGAAACTAAAGGCATTTTCTACACCTTCTTTGACAGGTTTTTCTACCTTCTTAGCAAGGAATTAAAAATATCGCATGAATTTTTATTTCATGACCATTCTTTTATGTAATAATTTCATACTTTGTCCAATACCAGCCACTCACTCTTATATCAGTCATTGATACTAATGTCCTATACAAGGCACTCCTATTAGTATTATATCAACCACTCATACTATGTCCTATATCAACCACTCATACTATGTCCTATATCAACCACTCATACTATGTCCTATATCAACCACTCATACTATGTCCTGATATTTTGTCCTATACCAGTCATAATACAATGTCTCACTGATACTATATCCTATACTAGCAACTGATACTATATTCTATGCCTCCCTCTCCTACGGTGTCCTACACCAGCCATTGATTCTATATCCTATTCCTTGCATTATTACTATATCATATACTATACTATATCATATATCTTATCATATACCAGCCATGCAATGGCACTGTGTCCCATTCCAGCCACCCATACTTTGCCCTCAGCCACCATACTATGTCCTGTACCAACCACCCATACTATGTCCTCAGCCAACCATACTACAGCGTGTCCTATACCAGCGGCCCATAATGTGCCCTCAACCAACCAAACAACATAATGTCCAATACCAGCCAATCACAGTGTCCTCAGTCAACCATACTGTAGTATGTCCTCTACCAGCCACCCATATTGTGTCCTCAGTCAACCATACTGTAGCATGTCCTCTACCAGCCACCCATATTGTGTCCTCAGCCAACCATACTGTAGTATGTCCTATACCAGCCACCCATACCGTGTCCTCAGTCAACCATACTGTAGTATGTCCTCTACCAGCCACCCATATTGTGTCCTCATGCAACCATACTGTAGCATGTCCTCTACCAGCCACCCATATTGTGTCCTCAGCCAACCATACTGTAGTATGTCCTATACCAGCCACCCATACTGTGTCCTCAGTCAACCATACTGTAGTATGTCCTCTACCAGCCACCCATATCATGCCCTCAGCAAACCATACTGTAGTATGTCCTTTACCAGCCACCCATATTGTGTCCTCAGTCAACCATACTGTAGTATGTCCTATACCAGCCACCCGTGTTATGCCCTCAGTCAACCATACCGTAGTATGTCCAATACCAGCCACCCATATTGTGTCCTCAGTCAACCATACTGTAGTATGTCCTCTACCAGCCACCCATATCATGCCCTCAGCCAACCATACTGTAGTATGTCCTATACCAGCCACCTGTATTATGCCCTCAGTCAACCATACTGTAGTATGAAATATACCAGCCACCTGTATTATGCCCTCAGTCAACCATACCGTAGAATGCCTTTTACTAGCCACCCATATTGTGTCCTCAGTCAACCATACTCTAGTATGTCCTCTACCAGCCACCCATATCATGCCCTCAGCCAACCATACTGTAGTATGTCCTTTACCAGCCACCCATATTGTGTCCTCAGTCAACCATACTGTAGTATGTCCTATACCAGCCACCCGTGTTATGCCCTCAGTCAACCATACCGTAGTATGTCCAATACCAGCCACCCATATTGTGTCCTCAGTCAACCATACTGTGGTATGTCCTCTACCAGCCACCCATATCATGCCCTCAGCCAACCATACTGTAGTATGTCCTATACCAGCCACCCGTATTATGCCCTCAGTCAACCATACTGTAGTATGAAATATACCAGCCACCTGTATTATGCCCTCAGTCAACCATACAGTAGAATGCCCTTTACTAGCCACCCATATTGTGTCCTCAGTCAACCACTCTTCAGTATGTCGTATACCAGCCTCGTTTCTATGAGACATTGTCTGGTTTACAACAAATATTGCTCAGTTAGTAAGAATTTTTTTAGAAGAAAACTGATTCATCAGACATCAGCATATTTTGATCTCGAAGACAACATATATGTTCACTAGGGACACTCTTGGCCATTGTTCTGGGAGAAGATTAAAAGAAAATATTATTTTAATGTATTATTTAATGATATTTAATATTGTGTTAGAAAAGGACATTTTGTCTTCTGGGGGAATTAAATTTCTAGTCATGATCGATACATATATTACTAAACTTGATTATATACACAAGTCAAAATCAAGGTTTCACACACATATCATTTGAGATATTTTTGTCGTAGAGTGTATTGCGTATTGACTTTCATTTACAATCTGTCTAGCATCACATATTAAGTATCTATTTGCTTGAATGGTTAAGTATCCATTAACTTTATATTTACTATAAACTGCCTTTTTTAAAAAAAAAAATGGGGGGGGGGGATGGGCGTGTATCATAATCTTGAACAAATATGTATCATTATCCTATACAAATTTCTTTATTTGCTCCTGGTTATTATTTTGCAGAGAATGAATTATACCTGGTATATTAATTATAGTACAAACGACCACAGCCTAAAGCAGTGTCGTATATTAATTTCAAGCTCAATGCGAGGTTTGTCAAACCAATGTGATCTAAAAAAAATTGTTGTTAGATGTACCAAGAATCCTGTTTTTCCATTAAAACAGAAATATCCACAGGGTTGCCGTACATAATGGACATACGCAACAACGTACCTTTCCTACTGAATAATTTTTCAAGATAATCTTAATTTAAGATTATAGTGCCATCAGATGTTCGTAGAAAAAAATCAGCATGCATTACAGGGGTTTTGAAAATATATCAGTTGATGAAAATTCTTGTTAAATTCAAAGAAAAATATACAAAAATTACTAAACATATATTCTAGATGTTTTTTATCCAAACTTGTTTTAGAATAAGTGTACCATAACATATATAGACATTAAAATGTAGCACATAGTTCCTTAAAGTATTGGAACTTTTCATCTCCAGGGAAAAAGACCATAAAGTTCAAACTATGTTGCGTATGTCCTTAAATAGATTCCTTGTGCTTCTGTTCCCCCGTACTTACAGAGACATTCTGAGACTTGCAGAGATTCTCTGTCGATTTTAACATTCCGGCTATCGATACCATATGCCTTGATTAAACAGTGTCAACAAGCGACATTGGAAACAAATATTGGTTGGTGGGACATTTTCTCTAATCAGGGTTACATAGTTAAACACCGCCTGTACTTTTGTCTGTAAATAGAACAGCGAAGTATTTTCTGGTCACAGAGTAGTAATTGCTTCCATATTTTTATAGTCTTTAAAAAAATAGATAATATCAGTCTTCATTTAAATAGAAAGCACTCTTTCAACGTCATATCTAAAATTTGTCAAACGTCGTATCTATATGTATCTATGTGAAATCCCTTTTGCTAAACAGATTGTAAATTATAGATATGTAAAAGTAATTTTTATAGGTACTCGTATAATGAAGTGTTCCTGCATATTCTTACGTCAGTTTATGTAATGGCCTTTTTTCCTTATGTAAAACTGTCTTTTAAAAGGTGCTATAGAACCCTATCATTTTCTGATCGAGGATATTTATGTATCATATGCAGTATCTTAAAAGTGTTAAGCACTGGATTCGCAAAGTACAAGTACTTGAGACAAAACACATCTTAAATATTTACCTAGAAAAATTTACAGTAAAATTTGTCTAATCCGGACACCATTTGTTCCAGAGAAATTGGCCGGTTTAAACAACATTCCGGATAAGATAAGATTTTAAACAATCGAATAAACAGAACGCGACTTCTAGAGTTCATTGTAATGGGCAAGATTTCGGAATGCATATCATCCGGGTAAGACAAGTTTTATTGTATTTGGTAAGCAGTAAGTATAATGATTGGTAATTTTTTTCTAAAGCACGTGCTGTTCTAAAGTTATTTTATATTGTATATGTATTGACCTCTCGTTGTATCTGAACTTCGGCATCAAAGATCAATGTTATTTCCTTAAGCTTTCTTTTAGATACACGGCGAGTAGACGCCCTGTTTGCACAGATGCTAGAAATAGCTGTAGTTTCAAACGTGTACACAGTGTTACAGAACAGAGTCCACCACCTTGTCCCAGAATCATGCTAGGGTTGTGTATAAGATGTTCTCTGTTAGCTAATACTGAACCATGTTCAGCTATGGTTGTAAGTAACCAAGAAAATGCCTTAGTTGACATCTTGCCCAACTGCAGAGTTGTTTCAAATGTCCAATACTTGTGGCGTTTATATTGTTCCGTAATATCTGTAAAAGTACTCTTGCACCATTGTATGAAGCATTGAATGATCATTTTTGCACTTCATACTGCCATTCTCAAGGTTGTCTATTTTTTGAAACAGTTAATAATTGTGACATCACATTTGTGATTTATCGACATAAAAACAAAGTGTTAATCCTTTGTACTAGGAAAAGTAATCGTAACTAAATGAAACAGTTTAAAATTCTTTAAAAATGAAAGTTTTATTTGAAATACAAACATTAGAAATAACTACAAACATATTAACGTCAGTCGATTCCTTATCTATTTGGTTTTTTGCTGTATTTTGCTTGGGTTCATCCAAGACATTCAAATAATTCCAGTCTCCAAATCCTCAATTCTGGGAGGCACCTTACGATTTCTTTATACAATGAACTATTATTACCCCGATATGTACAATCATATATTGTCATCAAAATGATAAAAAAAAAAACATCCGGAAAGGTATGTACAATAAAGCACTCAAACAGTATTATGCAATGATCTTATTCTTATAAAGGTTAGGAAAATACCATGACAAACAATAAGGTCACTAGAGATCCTAACACTATAGACAGACTAAGCTTGGATCCAGAACCTCTTCCAGGAGGTTGACGAAACTCTTTATAGAAGGCTGTAGTATTACACACATTGTCTTTGAGTATGTTTTGCAGGGTGATGTCTTTCTGGCAGGTAGAAGGCAGCATTGTACATTCAAACTCGTTCTTCAGTCCCACACCTGCTTTACTGCACGACTGTTTCCATGCACCCATATCACAGCTTAAATGGTCCACACGCACTCTGTCATAAAACATATCTTTATTAAAATAAATTCCTTTTTGTTTCTTGTAAAATTTCTGAAAAGTTTTTAAAGTTTTGCAAGTTCATGTTGGCGACATTCCCCAAAATTCTTAACTGTACAATGTTCAAGCTGGAATGCTAAACAGTTGATTTGTTGTTTATTTGTTTGATTGATTGATTGATTTGATTGATTGATCTTACTTGCAATACTCTGAGAAGAAAGCTTCCATATCTAGGTTCTGCTGGATTTGCCGGGCGGCTAGGTCCACCATGCTGGCGGACATGGTGTCCAAACATTTCTGCACGGCCTCGCTGGGTTTCTGGAAACACACCAATCCTTCCACATACACTGAAACAGAACAGAAACCATGAAGCAAGGTTTGTAGACATATCTGTATTTCATTATTGTCTCATTATACATATTTTATGTACTTATTTATCAGCTTTATTTCATTGGAGACCTTGTCCAGTTCCCTACCATCAATGTCTCCACAAAGCAGATCGATGCTGGCTTCCATGGAGGCGTGGTCATAACCAGTCAGCAACATATATTCATTGGCTCCTTCACATCCGTCAATCACGTTCCGCATACACGAAAATAAGGTACTTCGTACTCTGAAAGACAATATTTTTTTATACAAAAGAAAGTGATTCATAATTTGGTTTTATGTTTTTTTTTAAATAAATATATCTTTAATGGCAAATCAAGAATTGAAATATTGAATATTTTAGAGTAACAGAGACTAAAAAAAAGAAGCTCATCCGCTTTCAAGAATCCTAGTATATACACTGTTGCATGCTTTGTAATTCATTGGAACAATATCCTGACGGAATAACCCCCTCCTTTTCCTCTCTTGATCTCAAACAGAACTCTGAACTCACCCACAGAATCTGGCTGCCGCCTCTTTGTCCTTTCCTATGATGGCACCCTTGATATCCGTTTCGTTGGAGCCAAACATGCTCGGACTGAGTCCCGCTGTTGTATAACACTGCTGCATGTTTCTGTCCAGCATTCGCATACAAGAGTTTGCCTGTGGCATTACACCTTTAGATTAAAGATACAAAGTAATTAATTATTCTTAATTAAGTGTTGAGGGACGTTTATACAAATAAAGCCAGAATCAATGTAAACAGAGTATATCTTTATTTATGTACCTGCACCACAAGCGTTTTGTAATGCCGTTAATCTTCTGACGACTTGATTTTCTGCGAAGTTAAACTCCGCGCTGTCTGTGCATGGCGGCTTTCCACGCATGTTTAAAGTTGTTGGTACTATGCATTGTATTATTTGGGCTCTTATTCTGCGAAAAAATAATATAGAATAACAATCAAATAAGCATAAACCAGATGTAATTCATTGCTAGTAATATATAGAATGAAATATAGTTCAGAAATTTGGATTCGATTGAACTATCTGTATCTCTAGCAGTTATTTTTTTAAGATGGCCGGTTAATTTTTCATGCGTTACGAGTCTATTAAAACATAAATTTATCAAACTGTCGTCTGCAGGCTGGCTGTGGTCAGTGACGATTATTTGATTGATGAAATTATCTGAGTCACGTGATGGGCAATGGTCAGTATTCAATGTTACGTCACGTATAGAACTGATTCAGTGTACATTTAAATCAATATAACCATGAAATTATATAAATGTTTTCACAATCAGCGGCCATATTTGAAGAAAATTGTCTTACCAATGTCTTTTTTTAAGCATGATAAGAATCTTTAGTTATATACAGACAGAAAATAAATAATTAACCAAGTGGCTGTGTAAGACTCACCCACATAATGTCTTCCTAAGGTCCATTATATTTGAATTGGCGGGTAGCGGTGCTATAGTTCCATTGGTCAACACAGCATCAATGGTCAGCATCGGAAGGCCTGAACGCTGGAAACAAGAGGCACTAAGTTGTTCGACTTCTCGCATACATTGATTTCGGACTGGTTGTGGCTGCTGACCATTGCCGAGAGAAATAGTATAGAATCCTGTAAATGATAGTCTGAATGTAATACATTTCCAGTGAATAATGACAATTCAAATGTGTCTAGCTAAACTGTAATACATTTATCTAAAAAAGATACCACATATAGTATATATACCGGTACGTAGGCAATGTATTTTAACTAATATTTATTGAAATAATTCTCGGACAAGTATCATTCTAGAAAACGTAAAAGAAAACCAAAGGAATTTAAAAAAAAAAAGGGGGGGGGGTTATTTATAAAAAATATAACATTTAGGGAATATTAGTTTTGGCTGAGGAAAATACATGTAATATAACCCTATAAACTGGACTTACCTATTATGAAAAGAAAGAGGTACATAGCTTAACCTTGGCTGATACCAGTATTCCAACTAAAAGTAAAATGGGCAAATGTGAAGTGTGCACTCTTTAAGTATTTGAATTGATGATTAATACATGTGAATATTATGCCGGAAAATATTTAGCAGTAGTATGACCCATCGTGCATTCCAGCGATTCGTCACGGCTGTCGCTTGTACGTATATATCCATGTATCACCAAATTCCGACACCACTGACCTGGCCGCTAATTATCACAGGGTAGCTTTTCAAATGCATTTTTTTTATTACTTTAAATTTTCTGTTTAAGTATATGATTTTTTTTTAAATTTTGAATTTATTTCAGAATATAAAATAATGTCTATAAGGTATGAAAAATTGAAGCATACAAAAATTGAGAACATGTATCCTGAGGAGATTTGACGTGCAATTGCTACTTAGTCAACGAAATAAAACCATCGAATTATATTTTATGACATCTGTTACGCCAAATACATGCATCTTATATAATTCTTAATTAATTACTTTAACTTTATATGAGATTTAATATTATTGTCATGTACCTTTTTTTTTACACTCACCGAGGTTAATTTAAATATTATAAATAAATGCACAGCTTGAAAAGGATAAAACAACATTTTATGTTTAAAAATTGCATGTCTTTTTATTTTGTTAAAAGGATATTGAAATGTTTTGTTTTTTTTTTTATGGATTGCTACTGCCAACGCTTAGAGTTGTCTGTTTTTTGCTAGATGTTAGAAAATACAGACACATCAGGAAGATTCTTTAATAAACTTAACATGCACTCCCTTCCAAATTATCAAATCTAACGGCTTGTTTTAATTATTAATTTTTAAATCATCAAAATCAATACTTTTCTGAACTATTTAGAAGGTGGAAATCTTACGTCCCTGGAAATCATATGTAATCCCGGTGAAATTTGGAAAAAAAATATTTACTTTTTAACAATGTCTTAGAGAAGAATGCAAAAATTCAACCAAGCGAGTGAAAAGTGATACTTGCCCTAAATGGTTAACATCAGAAATTACTTAGGTATAGCACATGCATGATAATTTTAATCAAAGATGTGATTTTAAAAACATTCAAATATGAGAAACAAGGTCACAGCAATAATAGACAGTGCAAATGTCAGCTATAATAGGTAAACCAATGAGCAGAACAAAATCACAAATGTGAATAGCAATAAAAAAAACTTGCATCAAAACACAATTCTTTTTGCTAATTATTACACCACTGAGGACACGGAAGATATTGTTGCTAGTTTTTAATAATCATTTTACAGATATATGGAACAACTTATCTCAAATATCGCTGGAGAAGACTTTGATTGTGAACTAGAGTATTCCAAGGAATGCATGTGTCGCCTGCTATGTAGATTCATTAAACATGTAAATAAATCCAAGAGTGGTCAGCTATTTATTTGCTACTAGGATTATAGTTCATGCATTTGCCTGCAAAGAAAAAAAAAAAATCTATGGATAGTATAAAACTGCGATAGAATCTGGCAGTCAAAGATCTAAATATGGTTCCCCAAAGCAACCCTCAAATGAATAATGAAATTGAAATTATTAGAAATAATTATTTATCATTTTATTAAAACGTGTTTCAAAAGAGATTTCAGTCTGTCTTTACTGCAATTGTCAACCTACACGATCCATTATGGAATACCGTCCCTATGTATTTCCATATTAGTTTGTATGGTAACTGTGTATCATACAGTTTCAAAGTACAATGTCATGAGCTCATGTGTAAATGCTAATTATCAAAACCCTGCCTCTAAAATTTCAAAAGATATAAGTTAAACTTAATCGTAAGGAGTGTTTTTTGCAAAGTAGGTCAAAGGTCAAGGTCAAGTTGACTGTAACGCTGGCAATTTCATTATGTTTTATGACTAACATTACACATGCTAAATAGCATAGACTTAATACTTAAATTTCAAAAATATATTCTGTATATCGGCACTATGAACTATTTTGAAAAGTAGGTCAAAGGTCAAGTTCACGGGTAAGGACGTCGGTAGACAATGTATTTTGTAACAAGCAATACATGTACAAAATATCAAATCCATACTTCTTACAGTTCTCGAGATATATGACAGAGGGACACACAGACAAATAGATAGACAGTCTAAGTGTCGCTCTGCTCTGCAGGCGACACAAAAATTAAATTGCGTTTAAAAACAAACCAAATTTGGACATGAGAACTTTAGAGTTCCCCTTATCCGTGAAAAACAAAATTCTATTATCACTGAACAAACTTGATGTAAATAAGTTGGCTGGTATTGATACTATTGGTCCACGTCTTCTGAAACACGCTGCACCAGTCATACACAAATCAATCCTTCACTTAATCAATATTAGGCTGCACTAGTCCTATACAAATTAATCCCTCATTTAATCAATATTAGGCTGTTCTAGTCCTATACAAATCAATCCCTCATTTAATCAATATTAGGCTGTATCAGTCCTATACAAATCAATCCCTCATTTAATCAATATCTGGCTGTACCAGTCCTAAACAAATCAATCCTTCATTTAATCAATATCAGGCTGTACCAGTCCTATACAGATCAATCCCTCATTAAACCAATATCAGGCTGTACCAGTCCTATACAAATCAATCCCTCATTTAATCAATATCAGGCTGTACCAGTCCTATTACAAATCAATCCCTCATTTAATCAATATCAGGCTGCACCAGTCCTATACAGATCAATCCCTTATTTAATCAATATCAGGCTGTACCAATCCTATACAAATCAATCCCTCATTTAATCAATATCTGGCTGTACCAGTCCTATTACAAATCAATCCCTCATTTAATCAATATCAGGCTGTACCAGTCCTATACAAATCAATCCCTTAATCAATATCAGGCTGTACCAGTCCTATACAAATCAATCCCTCATTTAATCAATATCAGGCTGCACCAGTCCTATATACAAATCAATCCTTCATTTAATCAATATCAGGCTGCACCAGTCCTATATACAAATCAATCCCTCATTTAATCAATATTAGGCTGCACCAGTCCTATACAAATCAATCCCTCATTTTATCAATATTAGGCTGTACCAGTCCTATACAAATCAAACCCTCATTTAATCAATATCAGGCTGTACCAGTCCTATACAAATCAATCCCTCATTTAATCAATATCAGGCTGTACAGTCCTAAACAAATCAATCCTTCATTTAATCAATATCAGGCTGTACCAGTTCTATACAAATCAATCCCTTAATCAATATCAGGCTGTACCAGTCCTATACAAATCAATCCCTCATTTAATCAATATCTGGCTGTACCAGTCCTATACAAATCAATCCCTCATTTAATCAATATCTGGCTGTACCAGTCATACCGGTATTTACAAATAAATCCTTCATTTAATCAATATCAGGCTTCACCAGTCCTATACAAATCAATCCCTCATTTAATCAATATCAGGCTGCACCAGTCCTATACAAATCAATCCCTCATTTAATCAATATCTGGGTGTACCAGTCCTATTACAAATCAATCCCTTATTTAATCAATATCTGGCTGTACCAGTCATACCGGTATTTACAAATCAATCCTTCATTTAATCAATATCTGGCTGTACCAGTCCTATACAAATCAATCCCTCATTTAATCAATATCAGGCTGTACCAGTCCTATACAAATCAATCCCTCATTTAATCAATATCTGGCTGTACCAGTCCTATTACAAATCAATCCCTCATTTAATCAATATCAGGCTGTACCAGTCCTATACAAATCAATCCCTCATTTAATCAATATCAGGCTGTACCAGTCCTAAACAAATCAATCCCTCATTTAATCAATATCAGGCTGTACCAGTCCTATACAAATCAATCCCTTAATCAATATCAGGCTGTACCAGTCCTATACAAATCAATCCCTCATTTAATCAATATCAGGCTGTACCAGTCCTATACAAATCAATCCCTCATTTAATCAATATCAGGCTGTACCAGTCCTAAACAAATCAATCCCTCATTTAATCAATATCAGGCTGTACCAGTCCTATACAAATCAATCCCTTAATCAATATCAGGCTGTACCAGTCATACCGGTATTTACAAATCAATCCTTCATTTAATCAATATCAGGCTGTACCAGTCCTATATACAAATCAATCCTTCATTTAATCAATATCAGGCTGTACCAGTCCTATTACAAATCAATCCCTCATTTAATCAATATCTGGCTGTACCAGTCCTATACACATCAATCCCTCATTTAATCAATATCTGGCTGTACCAGTCCTATACAAATCAATCCCTCATTTAATCAATATCAGGCTGTACCAGTCCTATACAAATCAATCCCTCATTTAATCAATATCAGGCTGTACCAGTCCTATACAAATCAATCCCTCATTTAATCAATATCAGGCTGTACCAGTCCTATACAAATCAATCCCTCATTTAATCAATATCAGGCTGCACCAGTCCTATACAAATCAATCCCTCATTTAATCAATATCAGGCTGTACCAGTCCTATACAAATCAATCCTTCATTTAATCAATATCAGGCTGTACCAGTCCTATACAAATCAATCCCTCATTTAATCAATATCAGGCTGTACCAGTCCTGTACAAATCAATCCCTCATTTAATCAATATCAGGCTGTACCAGTCCTATACAAATCAATCCCTCATTTAATCAATATCAGGCTGCACCAGTCCTATACAAATCAATCCCTCATTTAATCAATATCAGGCTGTACCAGTCCTGTACAAAACAATCCTTCATTTAATCAATATCAGGCTGTACCAGTCCTGTACAAATCAATCCCTCATTTAATCAATATCAGGCTGCACCAGTCCTATACAAATCAATCCCTCATTTAATCAATATCAGGCTGTACCAGTCCTATACAAATCAATCCTTCATTTAATCAATATCAGGCTGTACCAGTCCTGTACAAATCAATCCCTCATTTAATCAATATCAGGCTGTACCAGTCCTGTACAAATCAATCCCTCATTTAATCAATATCAGGCTGTACCAGTCCTATACAAATCAATCCTTCATTTAATCAATATCAGGCTGTACCAGTCCTATTACAAATCAATCCCTCATTTAATCAATATCAGGCTGTACCAGTCCTGTACAAATCAATCCCTCATTTAATCAATATCAGGCTGTACCAGTCCTATACAAATCAATCCCTCATTTAATCAATATCAGGCTGTACCAGTCCTATACAAATCAATCCCTCATTTAATCAATAT